GGAGTCATTTATATTATGATTTAGTGTTATTATTTTTTCACTTGTAAATAAAAAGATTTATGTTCAACTTTAGCTATTGACAACTTTGATACTAAATTATTATGACTACTAACACATTATCTAATTTAACTTAAAATCCTTACTTAGCGTAAATATCTATCATTATATTAAAAATAAATTAGGATTAGACAGGTTCACTATTTGTTGGGGGCGTGGAAAATGTGTTACACGTTAATTTAACCACCATTATTTTATGCATACCAGCAATGCTGGAAATTTAGCTGCATTTTCAACCACAAATATAATAATTAATTAAGGGTAAAATTAAACCATTTAATGTATTAATCAGTTTTCTTATTGACCTAAAGTTAATCTATTTCACGTATGATTTGCCTTATTGTAATTGGCCTTCTTCCAACGAAAAAACGAGAAGCGAAAATATGAAATCATATGCAATGACGTTTCCAGGCTCATAACTGTAGCTTGTGCACCAGTTTGTTTTGGTAAAAATTAAAGCTGTGACGAGTGAAGGTGGAGAATGAAGGAGACGGACCAGATCTTATCAGGATCCTTCTCTGCGAATCCTGTAGGGATGATTTAATCTTAGCCATTTACGGTACGTGATCAGAAATTATTTTGAATTTTTATTTTTTTTCTAATTTATATGAGAACTTTAAAAAAAAGTTTCTGGTACTGTTCATTTTAACGAAAAATCAAATTTTTACACTAAAAATTCAATCATGGTACTATTTACTTTAATCTTTATTTTATCCTTATCGTGAAAATTTAAAAATTTCAAACTATTTTAATTAGGTTTTTTTTTTTAATATATTTTATTTTATTTTTATTGTAGTCTTTTTTTTTCAAATTTTTTTTTTTTTCAAGCTATCACTGTTATCTTCTCTTCCGTTCTTCCATGGATCCATGGCTCCTTCCAGTTATTTGTAACTCGTCGAGCGATCCCTTGGTGGCCTCCGATTTTGAGCTTGATGGTCTCGGATTTCTTCAGGAGGTTCAGCTGGAGGGAAGAAAGTGGTCGTAGAGCTCCTTCAAACTAAAGGAGAGTGCAGCTAGTCATGAGAGAGGTCCGCCGCTGGAATTGGTAGAAGCTCGGCGGAGTCAAGTTGGCAGGATCTGGGATCGACCCCATGATCGTCGTACAGTGCAGCACATCGGCCAAAGGGGGAAGAAGACGGAGTTGTTGCTCAACTTTTGCCTTGTTTTGCATGAATTTTATTCTGAACGTTGAAATTGCTTTCTAGCCCCGGGATTAGTTTCAATGGTCGAGATTATTTGACGTGTAGGCTCCGCATTACAGTGATCCAAATAAGATAGAGATTCACCTAGACGCAACCTGTGTCCGGAAGCAAATAGATTATTGGGTACCAAATAAATCAAGCAAGCCCAATTTTCTTTTGTTACAATCTAACTTAATTACTATATAATTGTTATTAGTACTTTAAGATCATCGTGCTACCTACTACAAATTCATGGTTACAACTTTGTAACCAAAAAGTGTAGGATAATGCATCTGAGTGCTAATAACGGTGTGATTATGACATGTGTATATCAAGAATTGATTATCACAATAGGATAGACAATGAGATACATGCTAAACAAACATAGCCCATTTGATTCCCATGCCAACACTGTTTATGGTGCACACGCATGTGCTGACGTTGGAGAGAAAATGGGCTGCAATGATCCCACCTTAAAATCTTGCAACCACATGTAATATGCCGTTTGATTTTAAAAATTCCCAAATAAAAATCTATAAATAGCAACCTTGCTATCTAACAAATTCACATATTTGCACCAAAAAAAGAAATTTTTTTTTCACATTCACTACTTATTCAGTCTTTCCTTCAAACACTTTCTTTCTATTTTTTCTCCTCCCTCATTTCATTCTCCACATTGTTTGAAACATGGATGGCACTACAAAGGGTCATACTCCACTTTGCTTGAAACATGGATGGCACTACAAAGGGTCATACTCCATCAATACCTCAAAGATAGCACTAAGGAGACGAACATGCTAAACAATACATAGTAGTTGATGTGTGAGTTAGCACTATCGGAGATGAAAAATTATAGTCTGGCACAATTCCTATAAATATTATATTTTTGGTGTACCATATTTAGGAAAAGGGGCTAAATATACGAATATCATTGGAGATGGTCCAAGTACTTTGTAATTAATATCATAAGCCTTACTTGTAATTAACAAATTTGCATCATATAAATCTCATAATTATAACCGTTCGTTTTCTTACACATCTTTTGAAGAGCATCTTTGAAAAAAATCAATTAAATTTGAGATTGTGTAGTCTTTCATATGTATAAAAAATGGTTGGTTCATTATAAAGATCTTAAATGTTGCAAAACCATTGTTTTGTTCATACATATAGATGATTAAACAATTTTTAGTTTGATTGATTTGGAAGGGGTTTTGATTGATTAAAAAGAAGAATCTACTTCAACCAATATGCCCTTAGGCACAGCTATACCTAACATAGAAATCACACTTGAAAAGGGTGGGCAATTAGCTAGAGCAGCAGGTGCTATAGCGAAACTGATTGCAAAAGAGGGAAACCAACCACATTAAAATTACCTTCTGGGGAGGACAAAACAATTTTCTTTTCAGAAGTGATCTTTAAATGATATTTATGAAAATGAACATTTCATATTATAACATGTGCATAATAAAAATTTGTGAATCACAGCTTGGGATAGAGAAGGAGGACCACCTTAGGTCCTTATAGGTAAGTGCAACATGATGACTGTGTTGTGTTTGCTGTGTTCATGTCATTTTCAGTGACATACCCTGATATTTTAACGGATTGTGTCGTGCAAGGTTCTAAAAGACGCTAGATGCTAGTTGGGTGGTGGACTGAGGCCTAGCACCTAGGTGGCTAGGAGGGAGCCTAGGCAGACTAGGTGGATTTAAGAAAATTTATTATATATCAGATACATAAGTGTCTAGTTTTACTTAAAAAAAAAATACATAATTGAATTGGGATACCTAAATTGCAAAATAGAATGACATACAGATTATAAAGTATTAGAATATAATGCAAAAATAAAGTTATCTATTTTCTATCTAACTAATAGTTGCCTAGGCGAGTGTTTAGGCGAGTTCGGGTGGGTTAGGCGGGTGCCTAGGCGGTTTAGGCATGTGTCGAAGTAGGTATAGGTGCCATTTCTTAATTTTTCAAATAGGAATTAACCGGCATGACGGCCAGCTGCCTAGCACTTAGGTGGGAATTTTTAGAATAGTGGTGTTGTGTCAAACCCGTTAAAATGAATACGCAATATGACCCCCCCCCAACTCAACACTTTAAAACCTGATCTGTTACCTATTAAAGAAAATATATTTTACTTCAATAAATAATCAAATGAAAAAAGTCATCCTAATTTAGTATCTACGTACCATATTGTCACATAAATCTTACTTCAAACAATAAAAACACATTTTTCTTCAAGTATTACATACACCAAAATAAGAGTCTAATGAAAAATATTAGTACATTACTACAAAATATCAAATGTACAAGGATATGCAAACTGCAAAATGAAAGGAGTTTTTTTTTCAACGTTGTAGAGTCTTTTCTCAAATGTTAGAACCTTGCTAACGAGACTCAAAGCTTGCACGTTGTTTTTTTACAGCAAAACCCTTCAGTTTTCATCATTGGAACTTTGGGATGATTTATTGTCTTTAAGAGTTAGAGTGATGATGTTTTTAGTAAGCTTTCCACATTAGCACTCTCTTTCTTGTAAAGATTTAATCTCACATAAATTCTATGGCTATTGTAGTAAGATTTTTTTAGTAGTTAAAAATTACCAAATTAATATTTTTCTTAACGAGTTGAAATGGGTTACCTATGAGTAGACTTGTTAAGAACCCGTTATTAATGGATTGGCCTGAAACCTGTTGTTTTCGTATCGTCTCTTGTTGGTTCAATGGGTCGTGTAAGAAATTGTCAAGTCTAAGTGCTAGTATCTTTCCGTCAAGTAGTAGATATTAGTTATTACATGGATTTGGATCTCACACGGATCCTCTTTGTGAGGATCCTAGGTATCATCACATCCTATCCGTTTATCGTACATCGTGTAGCCATAAATCATTTTAAATTTTTTTTACTAAAAATTAAATACAAATAGTACATAATGAAAACTGATCACAGGATGTACGATAAAAGAAAATGATGTGAGGATATGAATAGATAAGTTAAGAATTAGAATAGCAGTTTCTTAGCATATTAGCATATATAACTATTAGCTAGAATGCTAAATTTTTAAAGTTTAGATTAAACCAGAGATAATAGAAAGATTAATTATGCTCCTTCTCACCACCTTTGGCACCAATATTTGGCATCCCCTTGTTTTAAAACAACTGACCAGTTACCACTGGCTTACAAATGCAGGGGTATTTATGGAATATTGTAAATAAAATAGAAGGGTAGATTTGGACCATGAAAGGAAGGTGGGATGGAGATGGTGGCAAAACTGGAAATTTCTGGACAAAGAGAGTCCACATAATACAACATTTGGTTCAACCTTTTCAACGTTTGGGAACCAGTTGGCATTTGCCTTCTTCCTGTTACCTTCTTTCTTTCACATTTTCTTGTTACTTCTCTGAGTCGTAGACATTTAAAAATTAATTTAACTGAACGTGATTTGAAATGAAAAAAAATTAATAATCTAATCAAACAAATTTTAAAATACACAAACTCGTGGGAATTACACAACGGTTTTGCCTATTTAAACCCACCTCTTTTACTCTCATTCCTCCTCCCACTCCTTCGTTATTCAGTACCTTTAGCATTGTGCTCTCTCTCTCTCTCTCTCTCCCCAGAGTTCTCGTCTTGCAAGAAAGAAACTCTCTCTCTCTCTCTCTCTCTCTCGCGTTCATCATTTTGGTTTTGGCATTTTAATCTGGTAAGTCAAATATTCAATCTTTGATCAAATGCATTTCCAACCGATTTTTTGAAAATTTGGGTTTCCATCAAACATCATTTATATGACCAAAGTGGTTCATTTCATTTCATATGACATCCACTTTGCAAAAAAAATTTGGTTCTTGATCAAATTTAATTTACACCAAAGGAACATTATTTTGATCATTAACCTAAATCAATTCATACTTTGAGGCTCGCCCAATGAACCCAACAATTTTTTTTTCTAATCCAAATTAAAAATAGTTTTAAGTTGTAAAATTTATTCAATGAGTTGTTCTTGTTCCCTAAAGTTATGATACACTATGGGAAGTGCTTGAAATAATCACACATCAAACTTTGTTTAAGTTTACCTTTTTTAGCTTTATATTTGTTTAAGTTTACCTTTTTTAGCTTTATACATTGATCTAATACATGATCTTAATTATAAGCTAAGCACAACTTTTACTAGGTTGTAATACAAATTTATATCCAAATTTAAATTCCCATAAAGCCATTGGTCCACCTCCTCTCTTGATTCAATTATAGTAGCAGCTGTGGATTGTCCATTCAGAAACTAAGAAACCCTTATCCAATTCCACGCTAAGCTATTTGGTATGGCTTTGAAAACCCTTTTCTTCTTTTGGTAGTAATCTGAGTCAACAGGGCCCCTAATTATATGTTTTTTCGAAGTTTAGTTTGAGACCGAAAATGAAACTTGCTATAAACTTGTGTGGATTTAAGGTTTCATGGAACTCATTGTTCACTTCCCTTGCTGTTTTCTCAAGGTTTCTTGAACGAAATGGAATTCGACGATCGATTCATGCAGGCTCAGAGGACAAAGTACGAATGCCTTTTGTTCGGTAAGCCCTTTACTTTCGGAAAATTGTGTAAAATACGAGTTAACTTGTAAAGCAATCATCTTAGACCACTATTGGTTGAACTTTTGCAGATCTTGATGATACACTGTATCCCTATAGTAGTGGGATTGCCACAGCATGCAGAATCAATATAGAAGGTAATACTTTTGTATTCTAAGCAAGGCCTTGGAACTGCCGACATGGTCGTTCAGCATTTTTCATATCATCATATTTCGTATTTGATAATTTCCCTTTTTTTCCTGCAGATTATATGGTTGAAAAGCTTGGCATTGACAGGAGCATAATCCCTGAGTTGGGTAACCTTCTGTACAAGAATTATGGAACAACAATGGCTGGTCTCAGGGTACTTTTTTCTTTTCTAAATAATTACTTCCCCATATTTTTGGCACTATTATAATTTATTTATAAGCTTTGGGGTCCTTCTTTGCAGGCAATTGGCAATGACTTTGACTACGATGAATATCACAGTTTTGTCCATGGAAGATTACCTTATGACAACATAAAACCCGACCCGGTTTTGAGGAGCCTCTTGCTGAACCTGCCTTACAGGAAAATTGTAAGCGTCTACTGTGTAACTGGTTATTTATTCCCGTCACTCACATCACGTGACAAGAGTTTTATCTTTCTTCTTTATGGTAATTATTTCTGTTTTCTACGCCAAACAGATTTTCACAAATGCGGACAAGATCCATGCTGCTAAGGCACTAAGCAGGCTTGGATTGGAAGACATTTTTGAAGGGATTATCTGCTTTGAGACCCTCAATCCGATTCACAAAAACACTGTCTCTGACGACGAAGATGACATCGAATTCGTGGGATTAAGCAGCACTACCTCCATTACTAGCAGCCCTCAAATTTTTGACATCATTGGCCATTTTGCTACACCAAACCCCACTTCCAAACTACCCAAAACTCCAATCGTCTGCAAACCATCTGAAGACGCCATCGAACGGGCTCTCAAGATAGCCAACATCAACCCTCAAAGAACAGTAAGAAATATTTATATTCTCATCTCAAAATTTGAATATCTGCAGGTTCTTTAGATACTATTTACTTATGCTAATCTTTGGTTGGTATTTTTGGCTCTTTCAGTTGTTCTTTGAAGATAGTGTCCGCAACATACAAGCTGGCAAAAGAGTGGGACTTCAAACTGTACTGGTAAGCTATTGATAACTTTAGAGATGTGATATCTACATACCCCTTTTTACTTCTCACATACTTTTTTCATTTTCAGCCGTCAGATCGGATGAAATGAAAAAGATCTAATGGATAAAAATTAATAAAAATATGTAAGAAGTAAAAAAAAAATATGTGAATAACACATCGTATCTTTATACCAAAAATAATATCATACCAACTCATAATCAACGGATCTCGTGAAAACTCCGAAAGAAATCAATCATTATTGACGTGTACTGCTACCAGTACAGGTTGTCGATTTTGGTTACAAGCTGATGCAATCTTTTGTAACGATTTAATGTTACAGGTTGGCACATGTCAGAGAGTAAAAGGTGCAGATTTTGCTTTGGAAAGCATTCACAACCTCAGAGAAGCAATACCAGAGCTTTGGGAGGCTGATAGGAAATCTGAAGTTGGTTACTCTGGGAAGGTTGCTGTAGAGACATCAGTCACAGCTTAGATTTGTGCCCAAGATGACTAATTAAGTTTTTATGAGGAAAGAAATCATGTTTCTGGGATTTTACCATCCCATTTCCCTCATCGTAAAAAATCTCATTTTCCTTGTCTCATTGTAATCCCAGGTTAATTATAATAAAAATATAACTTTATGTTTACATATTGTTAATCTGAACCAAATATTCAAATCATGATTCACCAACTATTCAGTTTAACAAACTTTCTCTCTTGTGCATTACCCACATGTGCATGGAATGAGCATTAGCTTACTTCACCAAATCTCAGCCTTCCATTTTTTTAATGAAAACGAGTGGTTGAGATTAGATGAAGTCAATTGATGCTATGTGCATGCATATGCGTGATGCACAGGAGAGAGAGTTTGTCATGTTCAATAGTGTAACAAATTCAAGTAATACTCACCAAATTAATCAATTTATTAACATGACAAATTCCATTAATGATTCACCAAAACGTTCAATATAAAATCAGGGGGCACCTTATACCAATAATAAAACTAAAAAAAAGCGGTAAATTTAATTGCTAACAAATCATATGTACACAAACAAAGGCCCAATTAAAAGACAATGTTACATCACGTTCCAAATTTTATTGTACTTTATTCCCTAACATTGCGAAATTTGAAATTACAAAAGTGTCCCTAGTGAGATAAGTGGAAAATCATATGCATGCATCTAAGTCATTTTCACTCTTTGTCTCTTCTCGTCTTTCTAGATAGTATGTGTCCTCACGAACACGTAAGTGCAAACGAGACGTTATTTAGACTTGCAACGAACAATTTACACACATTTCACAACGAGGGGCAAAATAGTGCTTTTGCAATCTCGAGAATCCACAACTTGCTTTTTTTTTTTTTTTTTTTTTTTTTTGAGACAACAATGGGTTAGCAGTATTGCAAACTACAAACTGCGATACTGTTGGTGTACTCGTTTGACTTGTTAAAAAAATGGGCAAGTGGGCTTGACCTAAACACACACATTCTCGTAGTACTCGACGGCACGTATGAGTGGACGCAAGCAGAATGGAATTCTAAGTTCAAACAAAAAAATCAATGAAACTACAATGTTAAGGGCGATGCTGTAATTTCAATCTTTAAGATATTTTCCTAATCTATCATTCTACAATGTTAGGTTTTTGGGTCCAGTGGGACCCACCTACTTGCTATCTCACGCTCTTTCTCGTTACTTTTCTCACATCTCTCTTTTCTATCAACATTTTCCCTTTCTCTTGCATGTTTTCTCCCCTGACCACACCAACACCACAACACACATCTCAAAGAACCAAAAGCCATTAAACCACCACTATATCCACCCCCTTAACCTCACGAGCTCAAGTTCGAGCTTTGTTTTGTAGAAAACCAAACCCAAAGGCTAACTCGAGAGAGTTTCGACAAGTATCAAAACTGCCGACAAGAATTTGGCCTAAATCCGTCAATGTGGGCGAGTTCAAGGCAAGCAATTGACTTACCATCATCCAAAGACCCAGATCTAAGCCTTGCGTGCTGGAATTTGCCACTGTTTCAACACAACCAAAATGGACCGAGGCTTTCGAGCCATTTTCAAGCCACCTCCAGCTACCATTTGAACTCCGAAATGGAAAAATATTATCCCTCTCTTCTTAAGCTTCATTTTTGACATATTATGAGTCAAATTTAGATGTGAAATGAGCAAGTTATCACTTTATGAAGAAATTCGGCCAAAAGGCCATAATCTGGTGAGAAAAATGGCAACAATCGGTGACACTGGAGACGGATCCTGGAAAAAAAATGACAGAATATTGCAACGCCGTCAGGTGTCTAAAACAATTTTCGCTTGTTTTAACAGAATATTCCTTCAGTTGATGGAATATTCTGTCGCAGGCTCAGCCAGCACATGCTGGCGCGTATCGGCTTCAGTCAACACAGACGACTTTGATCAGTTCTGCTCAACTGGCTCGTTCACAAGCATTGACTTTGACGATGACTATTGACTTTTTTTGAAATCGCCTCGGGACCTCTCTTAAGGTATTTCAACATGCTCATTCCATTTCCGCACTTCCTTTCTTCAGATTCAGTTGTTTTATTGGAGTTTTACTAATGAGTCCTTATAGCTGTTGAGGTGTAATTGTTACCAGAGACCATCTACTTCGTACTTTGAGTGGTTACAACCCTGCAAAGTAACTGTAAATAGGTCTTTGCTTTCAAATACTATTATATTATAGTTTCCATGAATGCCTTTTGAATGTTTGTATGACATGCCATGTTTCATTTAGAAAATAATAATGGCCTACACTTGGTTATTTATTATTATTTTACGAGTTTAAACTGTGACATGTACATACTTGTGATTTTATCGGCTAATTATTAAGGTATGCACAGTGTCACCTTGTATTGTCCTGGTCAAGGACTAGCTTCACATGTATGTTCATATGCACCATTTACGTTCACTTTGGATCCAACATGTTCTTAGTTTTGCATTAGGCAACTAAGACCGGTATGTGAATGCTTAATGCCAGCTTCACGTGGTTGTAGTACCAGAACGTAAACTATACACCCAACCTGTTCATATAGTTACTTCTGCATGATTTGTGTGCTTACATGATCTGATGAGCAATCACTATTTGTTATTACTATTATTTTTACTAATATGTACCTGTAATATTTTATTACTACATATGTTGGGTACTAAACAATAAAAATTTGATTAGTATGTTATTTTCGGAAACTATATTTGTTTTATAGTAGAGGTTACAACTTTTACAAAAACAACATTTTACAAAATTTTGCTTTTCAGCCCACTCACCATTATTTTTCACCCCTCCATGACTTAGTGGCTATGCTCTTGTGGAGACGAGAATTACCGAAAAATGCTAACCTTCACTTCTATTAATGTGGGTTTCTTTTTATTGTTTAATGTGTCCATCTTTCTAGGATAATAACATCCTTACTTTTTATTACACTCTTATCTATGCTTGGATACTTATACTCTGTAATAAAGGTTCTAACTGCACATTGGGTACTCTTGCTTTAGTTACTTTATGTTTTAATTTATCCGTACTTTTTAACATCACTTTTACTTTATAATTTCGTCACCTTCCAGGTGTCAGTCAGCACATCTCGATTTGGATGTCCAGTCGACATTTCGGGTTGAAGTGTGTTAGAAAACCACAATACAAGGAAATGGACCCCTGAAACAAAACAAAACAAAACAAAGCCAAACTAGGTTTTGGAGCCCAAAGTAGAAAGAAAACAAAACAAAATATAAAAAAAAAATTAAAAAATAAAAAAAAACACAAACCCTAGTAGCTTGCAACCACCTTCGATGTCGTAGCACCACAGATCCACCAACACAACACAGCCTGAGACCTAACCAAACGACACCCCATAATTAAAGAAAATGAAAGAAAATAAGGCTCCATCGTTCTCAACTAAGCACCACCAATAATATCGCAGCCACAAATCAAAGGAAGCCTAGGGAAATTCCCATCATGTAAGAAAAAATGCCAAAGGGCATACAAAATGAAGGTGTTGGTGTGAACTCTGGAGCCGGAACTCTACACACCTTCTGATGGACCCACAACTAATTGCGATAAAGAGAAATGGTTGCAAATCAAGATAGATGTTGGATCGAGGAGGGACATAGCCAAGTGGGAAGGGTGTGAATCAGATTGATGAGAAACATGGAGGTGAACTGGCATCAAGGAATGAAGGGTAGTAGAGGACGGAGTTTAGGGCTAAGGGTGGTGAGATCGAAGGCAAGATGAGTGTAGAACGAGAGATCAACAAAGAGTAGAAGGAAGCGCAACCTGAAGCAAAAAGAAAGAGAAGAAGTGGGGAGCTACCATCTATCCTACCCATAGCTAGGGTCAACGGTTACAGAAAAATTACCAGAATAGATATCACTCCCACAACAGTGAAAAAAGCTCTCAATGAGAGAATGACTCCCACCAAAATGGGAGAGAATAAAATTTCAAAAACACATGTAAATCAATTAATTTAACATTTCATACTGTCATGATTCGGAAAATTCAAACTACTCCTCAATTTCATTTTTCCATTTAAAGCATAAATACCATGAAATTAAGAGCTAGTAAATCAGTTTAATAACTTTATGCCAACATGAATCACATTATCGTGAGTAGTCACATTCAAATAACAATCCACCTCATCAATTAGTTTAATAACATAACATTAACGTTTATCGCATTGTCTTGATTAGGAAAGTCACGTACCTCTTACTCCAATTTTTACAATTATTAAAATGGAACTTCATTCTGATCACGCGAGTTGTACAATAATCAGAAGAGGTGTGTGTGTACGTACGTTATTAGGTCGACATTTGTAATGAAAGGGACAACTCGTTAAGCATTCATATAAATTATAATTAACAACTCAAGGCGTCGCAAATTGATGCGCAAGAAACAGTTTACGGAATGGAGTAGGATTCTTAATTTTTTGTTCCTTCTCTTTCTTCTCTTTCTATTTGAACGATCACGGTTAAACTACGTCAACATCTTATATTCATTTTTTATAGTAAGAGAAATATAAAATAAAAGAACGTGAAGAGAATGAAAAGAAAGAGGATAGAGATTCTTAGTCCTTACGAAAATGATAAGTCCAAGATTTCAGGTGAATATTGTATGCGTTTACTGTTTCTGGTCCAGTCATGTCACCATATTATTCATTATTTTTTTTTTTATCAATCATATCATCATATTTTTTCTATTAATTTTATCGCCCATATCATCATTTCTTGAGAGTGGACTTTGGCACCATACTTGTACTGGCATCGTTGACTTGGAAATCACATGAATCTGCTGAATTTACTTTGCCAAAGTAAGAAGGAAATTGCAATTGGCTGCAGTTTTTGTCCTGCAATTCAGATGAATAGTGTGAAGAGCATCATTTTTCTTCAGAAAATTAGCCCTGTAGCCTGTGGGAAAGGAAATTTACTTGGCAGTTGGGAAGACAAGATAACCGATATTGTTGTATGTGAGGCCAAAATAACTGCAAAACAAATTCATATAAGAATCAAGTGACGGTCTTTATCAAAATTATGTTCAAATAATAAGATTTCATCAATCAGATTTCACTTATGGAATTGGGGTATTAAACTTAGCTTAGGAAGGTCAGGTAGTGCCTCGGCCCACGCACTGTCGCCAG